AAAAAAAAAAAAAAAAAATCCAAGAACTTTACATTTAATTTAACATTGTTTGAATATCCAAGTCATAATAATACATGTCCCAGGAAGCTTCTTATTTTTTCTCTTACCAAATAACAATAACCAATAGCTAATGAAATATAGTGTTTGGTATATACTCTAGGCAGTGTGTAGATACAGACATACTAATATAATCTTAATACTCATGTAAGATAGGTACTATGATTATCCCTATTTTATCGGGAAGGAAAAGGTAGCGTAGAAGTAACTTGCCCAAGGTCACACAACTAGGTTGTGGCTCAGGCAGGATTTGCACTTGACAGTCTGTGATCTCAACCACTATTACCTCTGAAAAAGAAACACTTCTGTGAATATAGATTTTAGAAAGATTTTTTTATTCCCTCTCTAATCTCTAATGCGTAACCTTAATGTAAATGTTTTTAAAACATCTTTCCCTTCTTTGTTTTGCCTTATCAATTACTGTTTTTTTTTCTTTCTCTCAATTACTGTTTTGCTATATACTTTAACCAAGACTGAATCAAAGTAATTTTGAATTTATTTTTTATTTCAATGTACCTTATATTGTTTTTCTTCTGAGCAGGATGCTTCATTTCTAAACCAGATGTGATTTCCTTATTGGAGCAAGGAAAAGAGCCTTGGAAAGTTGTGAGGAAAAGAAGAGGACAATGTCCAGGTAAGGGCCAGTCAGGCAAGAAGAAGCTGTCACCACAGGGAACCCCAGATTGTTGGGGAAGAGGCACATCCTTATGTTGTTGAGAAAGCCCTCTTTAAAGGTCTATGGCCCAAGGAGGAAAGGTCTGCGACCTGGGGAACAAATTAAGGTCTTAGCTGGGGATACTAAAAGAACCAGTTATTTGTCCTATTCACCACTCATCTTTTTTATTATTGTTCTCTCCAGTTTTCCTCCTCTTTGATGGAGCTGTGGGGTGGGGTGGTGCTCTCTGGTTCACTATTGACAACCGCTGTATATTTTGATTCAGCTGTTTTTCTCTTTTGCATTTTATTTTATTTTTGAGACAAAGTTTCACTCTTGTCACCCAGGCTGGAGTGCAGTGGCGCAATCTTGGCTCACTGCAACCTCCACCTTCGAGTTCAAACAATTCTCCTGCCTCAGCCTCCCGAGTAGCTGGGATTACAGGTGTTCACTACCACAGCTGGCTAATTTTGTGTATTTTTAGTAGGGACAGGTTTCACCATGTTGGCCAGGCTGGTCTCGAACTGACCTCAGGTGATCCACCTGCCTTGGCCTGCCAAAGTGCTGGGATTACAGGCGTTTGAGCCACCATGCCCTGTTTCCACTTTTATTTTTATTTATTTATTTATTATTTATTTATTTATTTGAGATGGAGTTTTGTTCTTGTTACCCAGGCTGGAGTGCAATGACGCATTCTCAGCTCACCACAACCTCCGCCTCCTGGGTTCAAGCGATTCTTCTGCCTCAGCCTCCCGTGTAGCTGGGACTACAGGCGTACGCCACCACGCCCAGCTAATTTTTGTATTTTTAGTAGAGATGGGGTCTCACCATGTTAACCAGATGGTCTCGATTTCTTGACCTCGTGATCCACCCGCCTCAGCCTCCCAAAGTGTTGTATTTATTTTTAAAGTAGAATAGGAACCAAGCTTGAGTAGAGATGAGGTTTCACCGTGGTAGCTAGGCTGGTCTCACTCTCCTGACCTTGTGATTCCCCCCACCTTGGCCTCCCAAAGTGCTGGGATTACAGGCATGAGTGTGCCCAGCCTTGAGTAAGACTTTTAATGATGTTTTTCACTTTTATTGCTGGGTTTTAGTTTTTAAAGTTTCTTCTAAGCACCATGGTTATGTTTTATAGATACTTACGTGGAGGTTTTCAAAATATAGACTTACTTTTTCTTTAAGAAAAAGGGTCTTGCTCTGTCACGCAGACTGGAGTGCAGTGTCATACACACAGCCCACTGCACAATTGACCTCCTGGGTTTAAGCAGTCCTCCTACCTCAGTCTCCCACGTAGCTGGTACTATAACACACACCACCACATCCAGCTAATTTTTTAATTTGTTTTTTGTAGAAATGAGGTCTTGCCATGTTACTCTGGCTGGTCTCGAACTCTTGGGCTGAGGAAATCCTCCTGCCTTGGCCTCCTGAAGTACTGGGATTACAGGTGTGAGCCACTGCACTCAGCCTACCATTATTTTCTAAAAAACAAAAATACAGCCAGGGACCCTGGCTCATGTATGTAATCCCAGCACTTTGGGAGGCGGAGGTGGGAGGATCACTTGAGGTCAAGACTTTGAGACCAGCCTGTCCAACATGGTGAAACCCCATCTCTATTAAAAATACAGAAAAAATTAGCCAAGTATAGTAGCACATGCCTATAATCCCAGCTACTCTGGAGGCTGAGGCAGGAGAATTACTTGAATCCAGGAGGCAGAGGCTGCAGTGAGACGAGGTCATGCCACTGCACCCCAACCTGGGTGACAGAGCAAGACTCCATCTCAAAAAACAAATAAGAAAGCAAAAACCAAAAATACTGTTTCAGATCTTATTTTCAGATTTAAAAGTTATTTAATATAGACTTTTGAATATTCAGGTAGATTTTACTTTTGCTTCTTTTGTTAATTTCTAGGTTTTGTAGAAAATGTCTGTATGATTTCAACTTTTTTTTGCTAACTCCTAGTGTGTATCTAGATTTCAACTTTTTAATAGAGACTACATTGTAATAATTGAAACCCTCATCCTGTTTCTCTCTCATACACAACTCATTCAGCACTTAGATTTTCCTCTGTTTCTGCTGCTGGCTTTCCATCCTTGGCCTATATCTAACATTACTTCTGTTTGTAAGCCCTTCATATTCAGATGACTATAACATTTGAATGTGCACATTACTTTTGTCCACATTACTGAGTTACCAGCTTATCCCATCTTTTTGTGCCAAGAATTTCATAAGAACTTCAATAAGATATAAACATGTTTTCCTATCTGAAAAATCACTGATACAGCTTTCCTAAAAATACAGAAATCGCCTTGACTATTAGGAAATTGAAAGGAGAAAACTTGAGCCATGGGAGGAAAGAACAAAAGCCGTTGAATATCTGTCAAATGAATGAGTAATAGAATAAGTTGAAGGGGAGATAGAGTAGGTAGAACTTCTCAATACCTTTGCTATGGTGTAGTGATAAAGAAAAGTTACCCATAGCTATGTGAAAGAGCAAATGGGTAGACACTGCATATAAGGGCATAAGCAGTGATGGATGTATAGGAATATACAGCCACCTGTTCCATTCATGTATTTAGCTGGGCTACCCTGGACGAATAAAGAGAATATTTAATCATTTTTGTAAGGCATGAGAGACAAGAGGCAGAGAGATAAATTTAGGACAAGTATATAACTATGGGAATTAAATGAGTAAAACCTATTATATGCTTAGCATTTATTACTTAATGTAAAGTAGGGATTGTTTCTGTCCTTGAGGAGGTTTATAGGTAAGAATAAGCAGTATAACAAATGGAGAAGTTAATATATAATTTTTAAATTGAGAGGTATTATAAAGGTAAGAAATAGAGAATAGCAACATGGATTTTTAGGGACTATCAATAGGGTCAACCTTAAAGGAAATGACCTTTAATCTAAGACCTCAGGATGAAAAGGAGCCAGCCATGCAAAAAGCCCAATCAGGAGATCTGTGGGAGATAGTACAGACCGTGAAGAGTCCTAAGAGATGGAAGTAAGTTAGGACATGTGAGATCTGCAAGGAGGCCTCTCCAGGTAGCAGAAAAGGGACACTGATTTGAGATCATATGATATAGATAAGCAGAAGCCTTCTTAATCACAGTGAATTTGACTGGATTCTAAGAATGAAGAAAGATGAAAAAAATATTGAGTATAGATTCTCAGCCTCTCATCAGAATGATCGTGTAGAGAATATTGAACATCCTTCCAGGACTGCAGAGTCTGATCCAGGTGGTTTGAGTGTTGTCTAAGCCTCAGCGTTAGTAACAAGCTACATGGTGATTTTGGTCCACGCTGCCATATGAGAACCAATGACTTAAAATGTTTACTTAATCACCAATCTTGCTATTTTGTATGAACTCTCATTTTTCCTGATGTTCTCTTTTACTTTTTTTGTTTTCAGATTGTATACCAATATTTTAGAGTTTGGTTGAGGATCACCTAAGTTGTGTTTCATTTCTACATTAGAAATGTTGCTTCTTTTAGTAAAAGAAAACAGCATGTGTTTGCTTTCTTGTCTTATTTTAGATTTGCAGACCAAGTATGAGGCCAAGAAGTTGTCTTTAGAAAATGACATTTATGAAATAAATTTATCCCAGTGGAAGATAATGGAAAGAATTAAAAACCATGGCCTTAAGGGTCTCATTTTAAAAAATGATTGGGAATCCAAAGAAAAAATTGAAAGACAAGAGAGACCTCTAGAAAGATACTTCAGTAATGTGAAAATGCCATCTGAAAAAGTATCCTGTTACCAAAAACGCACGTCTGCTACTGCACATCAGAGACTTCATTTTGTCGATAAACCCTATGAATGTAAGGAATGTGGGAAGGCGTTCAGAGTGCGCCAACAGCTTACTTTTCATCACAGAATTCATACTGGTGAAAAACCCTATGAATGTAAGGAATGTGGGATGGCCTTCAGACAGACTGCACACCTTACTCGACATAAGAGACTTCATTCTGGTGAAAAACTCTACCAATGTAAGGAATGTGAGGAAGCTTTCATATGTGGTGCCGATCTTAGAGTACATCAGAAAATGCATATTGGTGAGAAGCCCTATGAATGTAAAGAATGTGGGAAGGCTTTTAGGGTACGAGGACAACTTACTCTGCATCAGAGGATTCATACTGGTGAGAAACCCTATGTCTGTACAGAGTGTGGGAAGGCCTTTAGACAGTATGCACACCTGACTCGGCATCAGAAGCTTAATAGTGCTGACAGGTTCTATGAATGCAAAGAATGTGGGAAAGCCTTTTTGTGTGGCTCTGGTCTTAGAGTACATCACAAACTTCATACTGGTGAGAAACCCTATGAATGTAAGGAATGCGGGAAGGCCTTTAGAGTGCGACAACAACTAACACTCCATCAGAGAATTCATACTGGGGAGAAACCCTATGAATGTAAGGAATGTGGAAAGACCTTTAGTCGTGGTTATCATCTTATTCTCCATCACAGAATTCATACTGGTGAAAAACCTTATGAATGTAAGGAATGCTGGAAGGCCTTTAGTCGTTACTCACAACTTATTTCACATCAGAGTATTCATATTGGTGTTAAGCCCTATGACTGTAAGGAATGCGGGAAGGCCTTTAGACTACTTTCACAACTCACACAGCATCAGAGTATTCATATTGGTGAGAAACCCTATAAATGTAAGGAATGTGGGAAGGCCTTTAGATTGCGCCAAAAGCTTACTCTACATCAGAGCATTCATACTGGCGAAAAACCCTTTGAGTGTAAGGAATGTAGGAAGGCCTTTAGACTTAATTCATCCCTTATTCAGCATCTGAGAATTCATTCTGGTGAGAAACCCTATGAATGTAAGGAATGTAAGAAGGCCTTTAGGCAACATTCACACCTTACCCATCATCTGAAAATTCATAATGTAAAAATATAAGAAAGTGTTTTCAACTTCTGTGTTACAGAACATTCTATGAATGTAGTAATTAATCTCTTTTGATCCCTACATGCAACTGATTTGGCATAAGAGGTTTTATACTATTAGAAGAGTATGATAATGTAATATATTCCATCATCATTCAAACCTGAAACTTCAGCACATTTGTTCTAAAAAGTAATCCTGTTATAAGAAATGTGAGAAAGACACCGTCATCCCTATCCCATCACTTTGTGTCGTCCTGGACAAGATGCTTAACTGCTCTGTGCTATAATTTTTTTAATTTATGAAATGGTCATATAAGAGTGCAGCAATTTGATACTCTTCTGATCAAGAGGTGAATTTATATCCCCTCTGTTGTATATAGGCAGACTGTGACTGCTTTGCCCTGTAGAATATGGTAGATGTAGTGCTGTGCTGGTTTCTTGACTCAGACTTTACCATACTAATAGAGTTACTTCATCTCATGAAATGAGAGAAATGTCATGTCCCAAAGTCTGGCCACCTTCCTGAAGAGACCACATGGAGAAGCCCTGACACTACGTAGTGAGGGAGAGGCATCCTGCTGAACCCTGTTTTCTTGACATCCACCAAGACACCAGAGATTGGAGTAAAATTTTGGATGCACCAGACCAGCTACCAGCTAAATGCCACTGAGTGACTTGGTGACCTCAACTGATGCCATGTAGAATGGAAGAACTGACTGACCAGCTGAGCCCCTGCCCAAATTTCTGACCCACAGAAACATGAGATATGATAAAATGGTTTTTGTTTTAAGCCACTAAACTTTCTTTTATCATACTTAATACTTCTTTTTGGATAATTCATACTAAAGGCTTTGGGCATAATGAATTTAGAAATGCCTTCCACCAACATTTACTTCTCATTGAACTTGAGATATCTTATTCTTGTTAAAATATTGAAAGTAAGAAATTCCTTTTCAATTTGTTCATTAAAAAACAGATATCCTAGAACAGGTGAGGCAGCCTATGCCTGTAAATCCAGCATGTTGGGAGGCCAAGTAAGGAGGATTGCTTGAGGTCAGAAGTTCGAGACCAGCCTGGACAACATCATGAGACCCTCTACCAAGAAAGTTTAAAAATTACCTGGGCTTGGTGGTGCATGCCTGTAGTCCTAGCTACTCAGGAGACTGAGGTGGGAGGATCACTTGAACCCAAGAGTTGAGGCTGCAGTGAGCTATGATTGCACCACTGCACTCCAGCTTGACTGACAGATCAAGACCCTATCTCAAAAAAAAGAAAATCTACAGTCAGCATTCTCTGGCCCCAGTCGGCCCCAGTCAATATCAAAAATTGACAAAGGATAACATGAAACTATTTGGAAATTAAAAATCACTTGTATTATAAAACTGTATTAATTTTTTTTAAATTGTAGCTTTTTAAAAATGCTAAATTGTCCTGTATTTGGCCAGTGGCAATCCCCTCAAATTGGCTCCTCTGTCCTTTTGTCATGACCGCTCCAACCTTTGAGCTTCTTTTTTTTTTTCTGAACCAAATGCATTAATTAGTTATGCAGCATACAAGAGCATTATTAACAAATAAAGGAAAAGAATGGAACATTTAACTTGCCTATACTTTAGGAACTATATTTCAAGACAAACAAAAGTTGGTGAAGGAAAGTTGTTTATTATTAGAGAATTCCAACTGGTTAAAAGGTCAAAGGAATGATTGAATTTGAAAATTACACTTTTTAATTTTACAAAATAATATATTTTGGTGGTGATAGTAGTGGATGCCAAGACCATTAGGTGAAAAATGGATAGGAAGCTTATACTGCATGAAGCAGAATGCCAGGACACTAATCCATATTAACAATCTCTAAATAAGAACAGCCAGATGCACCTGATGTGATGTAATGGATGCACACAGTGGATACCTGTGAAGTTTTCTTGGTCCCCTAAATTCATTGAGAAGTACAAGTTAGTCTATAAACCTAATTACCGGTTTACAAGAAACATGGGGAATAAAAGAACAAATTAATGACACAAACAAACAAATGCACAATTCGGGAAATTCTGCAGAAGTGATGGCCTAGTTTTTTTAACCAATACATGTCAAAAAAAAAAAAGATTAAAGTGGAATCCTACATATTAAAGGAGACTTAAGAGACTTATCCATCAAATACAGTGTATGGAACATTTTAGGATCTTTGTGTTAAAATGTGCTTGGGATTTGCTTTAATCAATCATGGTGAGACAGGCAGACATGGAAATGATTGTCATAAAGGAAGAAGTTTATACTCAGATCCTAGAAACAGGAGGTGTGGCATGCCACGCAGAGTCACATAAAGAAGCGCCCAGGTGTTGTATCAGGATGCAGAAGGGGTGAGGGCAGAGCATTGGGGGTTTTTCTGGGAAGGAATGGATAAGGCAGGGTTAGGCATGCTGGTAAGCTTAGGATTGGATTGTTTGAGTAATTTTGTTGGGCTGTGGACTCTAGGGGTGATTCCTAGTTGTCCCATTAGGGTAGGGGGAATATTGACTTGGCGAATGAGAGTTTGATAAAGGAGATAGTTGGGAATATTTGTCTTGTTCACTCTATTCATATACATACAATAACTATCACGTAACAGGTGTGATGCGGAAAAATAAGAATTAACTTAAGCCAGAAATTTTTTAAAGGTAAGGTGAATAACAGGAAGTAGTTTTATGATAAATTAATGGAATAGTTAATAGACTAAAGATATTCCCTTTTAAAAGAACATTAATATGGATTGGCAGTTATTGAGGGAAAAACATGACTCATAGCTTTATGTGTGGAAAAGGTGAAATAGCTACATAATAAGGAGATTTTTAAAAAATATTTGTTACATATTACTATATACATATATTTACTGTATACATATATTTCAATATGTTTCAGTATTACTATATGCATATATTTCAATATGTTTCAATCTAGAGAAACCTAAATGATAAAAATTGACTCCAGATACAAAAAAACCCTGAACTAATCCATAAATAAAGGGGGAAAAGTACAGTTATGATGTTTTTTAAAAACTACAATCCATAGTTTTACAGGCAGTAAAAAGCTTTAAAGCTTTAGAATATATAACTTGGCTGGGCACGGTGGCTCACGCCCATAATCCCAGCACTTTGGGAGGCAGAGGTGGGTGGATCACGAGGTTAGGAGTTCAAGACCAGCCTGGACAACATGGTGAAACCCCGTCTTTGTTAAAAATACAAAAACTAGCTGGGCGTGGTGGCGTGTGCCTGTAATCCCAGCTACTCAGGAAGCTGAGGCAGGAGAATTATTTGAACCAGGACCAGGGAGGCAGAGGTTGCAGTGAGCCATGGTCATGCCACTACACTCCAGCCCGGGCTACAGAGCAGGACTCTGTCTAAAAACAAAAACGAATATATAACCTGTAACAAAATTTTACTAGATCATTTTATAAGGCAAATATCCCAACATAAAATTAGAGGAGGATAAATACCCCCTAAAAAGCAAAATATGGGTCAATTTTACTTAAGATACATGTAAACATTCACAAAAAAGTATCAGTAAATTGGACTCAATAGTCTTAAAACAATTTTAAAACATAAAATGATTTACTAGGAATACCCTGGGGCCTGGCCTGTTTTCATTTAAATATGTATCCAGATTTTAGGTTTTCTGACTTGAGCAATGCAACAATGTTATAAAAAATGACATGATTCCGTCACAGTATCTTTTTTCTTTTTCAGATGGTAACCACACTGGAGTGCAGAGGCGCTATCTCGGCTCACTGTAACCTCCAACTCCTGGGTTCAAGCGATTCTCCTGCCTCAACCTCCCAAGTAATTGGGATTACAGGTGCATGCCACAATGCCCAGGTAATTTTTTACATTTTTAGTAGAGACAGAGTTTCACCATGTTGGCCAGGATGGTCTCTATCTCCTGACCTCGTGATCTGTCCACCTCAGCCTCCCAAAGAGCTGGGATTACAGGCATGAGCCACTGTGCCTGGCCTCAAAGTATCTTTTAGATGGTTTCTATTATTGTCATTTATCTTAGCTTCACTGGCTTTACAAGAAGAATGAAGAATACATATAAAAATAGGAATTCAACACAAAAATTATTACCTTTTGCTTAGTCTATTTTGTGAAGATACTCGCTTGGCTTGATGGATCACGCCTGTAATTCCAGCACTTTGGGAGGCTGAGGTGGGTGGGTTGCTTGAGGTTAGGAGTTTGAGACTAACCTGGCCAAGATGGTGAAACTCTTTCTCTACTAAAAATACTAAATTAGCCAGGCGTGGTGTTACATGCCTGTAATCCCAGCTACTTGGGAGGCTGAGGCAGGAGAATCGCTTGAACCTGGGAGATAGAGGTTGCAGTCAGCTGAGATTGCACCATTGCACTTCAGCCTGGACAACAGGAGCAAACCTCAATCTCAAACAAACAAACAAACAAACAAACAAAAAAACACCACAGACTGGGTAATTTACAATGAACAGCAGAAAATGGCTCACAGTTCTGTAGGATAGGAATTGCAAGACTAGGAGGCTGGCATCTCATAAGGACCTTCCTGCTCCATCATCTTATGGCAGAAAGGCAGAGAGGGCAAGAGGAAGCCCAACTCATCTTTTGATAAGGAACCCACTCCTGTGATAATGGCATTAATCCATTCATGAAAGCAGATCCCTCATAGCCCAATCACTTCTTAAAGTTTCCACCTCTTAATACTATTGAATTGGGTATCAAGTTTCTCCCTAAAACTTGGGGACAAATTCAAACTATAGCATGTCTTCTCTGGCCTCCCAAATTGATGTTCTTCTCACATGTAAAATACATTCACTCCCCTCTGACTGCCCCACAGTCTTAGCTCTTTCCAGCACAAACTCAAAAGTTCGTTCTCATCTAGATCAGGTATGGTGAAACAAGGCATGATTTATCCTGAGGCAAATTTTCCTCCAGCTGTTAGTCCATGAAATCAAGCAAGAATTTTACTCCCAAAACACAATGGTGGGACAGGCATAGCCTACACATTCATATTCTGAAAGAAATCGGGAAGAAAAAAAACTGGTGCCACGTAAGTCCAAAACCCAACAGTGCAAACAACATGAACTCTTTTTTTTTTTTTTCAAAGAGTCTCGCTCTGTCACCTAGGCTGGAGTGCAATGGCGCGATCTTGGCCCACTGCAACCCCTGCCTCCCCAGTTCAAGCAATTCTCCTGCCTCAGGTTCCCGAGTAGCTGGGATTACAGTCATCCACCATCATGCCTGGCTAATTTTTGTATTTTTAGTAGAGAGGGGGTTTCACCATGTTGGTCAGGGTGGTCTTGAGCTCCTGACCTCACGTGATCCGCCTGCCTCAGCCTCCCAAAGTACTGGGATTACAGACGTGAGCCACCACACCCGGCCAAACGACATTAACTCGTAAGGCTCCAGAAGACTCCTCCTTAACTCTGTGACCTACTTGGACACACTGGGATGTTGGCTGGTTCTCAGACAGCCTTTCCCCCATGGGTTTGCTGGGCTCACTCCACACATCTGTTACAGGTTGGAGGTTCACACTGGTAGCTCTTCAGTTCTGGGGTTTTGAGGATGGCCTGACTTTATTAGGCATTGACGTAGTGGGGACTCTCTGCAGTGGTTCTGCTCATGGACAAGTCTAACTGGGCCCCGGGGCTACCCAAAAATAGATTTTATTGTGGTTCAGTTGTCTCTTTCAGTTCCTGTTTAATTTTTCTTTTTTTTTCTTTTAATAGAAATACCTGCTAAATATCGTAAGATGTCTTTTTGGCTCATTGATACAATGTTTTCCTCCTTCAGCTTGTT